GAAAAAAGAGGAGCTTATACCAAGGGCTGAAGTAGAAAATGTTTTGGAAATGATAATGGCAACATATGTATAAATATGCTTGATAAATTGACCTATTGAATATTATAAGAGACCCCAATGCTGTAAGAGACTCCAGTAAAATTGTTTTTAAAACACTCCATATTTAATATTTGTAAGGTGTAAAATATCATGTTCAATACAAATGTAAATAACAGACCTCTGGGGAAAGTCCCATGATTGCTTGGGAATTTTGTAACTGGTGACTCATCAAAGAAACCGAGAGAGCTAGGGAGGGCTAGTAATCTGAGCCGGCTGTCCATTCAGTAAACTCAGGACATGTTCGTCATCTGTGCTCTGAACTGGGAGCTGAAGATGTCCTTCAACAGGAAACAGGAACTTACTGCATAGCCTAAAAATGGAGCCGGCACTTTGAAGTTGGAAGAGACGTTCAGTTTGACCCTGGCTAAGTGATCAGTCATGATCCTGATGTTTCAGATGAAAGGGTATTTGTCACTAAGGCTCTGTGGTCACCAGTACCTCATCATTCACTGGCTCATTCATTCATTCACTCATTCATTCATTCATTCATTCACTCATTCAGCTGTCCAGTCAACAAATAAGATGTACCTGGAGATACAGAATGACAGAAACCAAGACATAAGTCTCCTTTGCCCAAGGAACGTGGGGTGGGGAGAGGGAATGCAGAGAAGTGCACAGCCGTGGCAGACAGTGTTGAGTGACAGCCGGATGGGGAGGAACCTGAGGCTCCTGGTTCACTCAGTTTAGACTAGCACTCTATCCGGAACACACTCCCCTTTCATCATCAACATGCCAACTGTTAGCCCCTAACTCTTTGCCTTGATGTCCTTTCTTTAGTACCCTTCTTTGAACCCTTAAGTCTGGACTGGAGTCTCTCCAGTGAATGTCCCTGGCACCCTGAGTCACTCCACCAGGCACTCCCAACGCAGTACCCTAAGTATTTGCTGACCTCGCTGGATCTTCTGTAGGCAACCAACTGCAGAAACATCAAGATTAGGGAGACTCTCTTTTTTTTTTTTTGTCACCCCTCCTCACCCACCCCCAGCATTGTCTCCATGTGTATCTCAGTGCTTGCTTGAAATAAGTATTTACTGAGATCATTGAATAAAGAATACATTCATTAGTTAGGCTATTCTACTGAATAGATTTCATGATACACATTAGAAAATGGTTATTTTTAACCCTTGACTTTTTTTTTTAATGAAACACAAGAAAATCAGGAACATTCACTTATATGGAAGACTCACTCCATGAAGATGCTGCGTAAATTGTGTTAGGGTAGATGAATTTATTTATGCTTTTAAATTCATAAACTGCAAAGCAAACAGCTGCCAAGAGTGATGTTCCTTTTTGAATCCTCAATTACCCATGGTGACCAATGGGAAGAAAGATGTAACAATAAGTAAGTCAAATCCATTGAAAACCTCCCAGGTAAATCCTTGCCTTCTTATCAAGCCTTTAACCAATGCGAGCGCACATGTTTTTAAAGTGTCCTTTTTACCTGTCTTTTAATGTTCCTTTTGGATGTGTGTTTATACAGAAGCCAAGGGCCCAAAGACAGATCACACAAGATGGAGCTTGGTTCTCAGACACAGCATAAATGTATTAAATTAATGAAATAATATGAGTTTGACTGGGGAATTCTGAAATAGCTTAGAACTGTTGACCATGAAGTTAATATAATGCTAACCATCAGGAAGTTGTTTGTGAAAGCCATCCCTATTGAGACCAAAGGCTTCCAAAAGGAGTCTCCTCCTGCAATGGGAAAGCAGGTTGAGTTTATAGTGAAAGCAAAAATCACAATGGAGTTTGCAATAAAAACAAACAAACAAAATAATAGCAACAAAAAAAAACCCTAACTGGGTTCACACAAAAACTTTTACCTAGATATTTATAGCAGCATTATTCATAATGGCTGGAAGGTGGAAACAATACAGATGTTTAACCATTGATGAATGTGTGCTAGATCCACACAATCAAAGACTAGTCAACAATAGTAATGTAAGAACTGTTCATACACATTACCGTTGCATTATTGACACACAATATGCATGAATCTTAGGCTAAGTGAGAGAACGTATTCACAAAAGAATATATATAGGGGGATTCAGAGCTTGTAGAAAAATTTCATTATCTGTTTCATTTTCCATGAACTTTTGAAGCCTCCTCACATTATAGAATTTCACTACATGTGATTTCCAGAATAGGCAAATCTAAATGGACAGGAAGTAGTTTGGTAGAGCTACAGACAAAGAATAAGAGAGTAGAAGTGATGATAGCTAAAAGGTATTTTTTTTTTTAGGTCATGAAAATGCTTTAAAATGGACAGTAATAATGATCACACATATCTGAGCCTATACCAAATCCCTTGAATTTCACACTTCAAATGAGTGAATTGATGATATTAATGGTGATCTTTATGCTCCAGGGAGATGATTGATAAAAGTCTCAACCACAAATTATCAAGGAGGTCTCTAAAGGGAGCCAATGGCAGATTAAAAAAACAAAAACAAAACACAGATCCAAGAATGGGCTTTCAACCTGCTAAATTCTAGCTCCAATTGAAGAACAATTAGTTCATACATCATAGCCCTGCTGGAGAGTTGTCGTTAGGAAGGGAACACAGAAGATATGGGTGCTAAAGCACAGTGTGATGAAGAAATTAGATGGTGCCCAGCTATCAGATAGAAGAGCTTCTGGGGTCTTAAGGGTTGGTCTCCAAACAAGCAGCTATTTAGGTGAGATGTCAACAAAGTCCACATGGATGAAGCATACTAACATCAGTCACTAACAGAGCCTAAATTGTGAGTTCTGGTTTGCAGAGGCTATGGATGACAGTAGAAGCTCAAGATACATTTGTGAGATTTTCTTAGGAAATAGTCTCCTGTGATTTTCCTGTTGGATACATACTAGAGGGATGGGAAAAGAAACCAAAACTGGTCACCAAGCAGAATGCATTGGGGACTACAGGAGATAAAAAAATGATAACCCTGACTTGAATGGTTAAAACCTTGTCAGTTGATGCCCCGTCTGATTCATGCTGGGTCTGATCTGGTGGTCAACATTTTCTGTATTGTGAGTGTTTCATTTTTTTTTCCACTCAGGTGTGTTTTGTCATTGGGAGTGCCTCTGTTGAATTTTTGTTATATAGTTTTCTGATTTTCAGTATGTGAAACCCAGGATTGATGAATCTATAAAGCAGTGGTTCTCAAACTTTGGGTCGTGACCCCTTTGGGGGAACAACAACCCTTTCACAGGGGCCGCCCGATTCATAACAGTAACAAAAGTACAGTTATGAAGTAGCAACAAAAATAATTTTATGGTCACCACAACATGAGGAACTGTATGAAAGGGCCACTGCATTAAGAAGGTTGAAAACTACTGCAAGTAGAGTAGTGGCTCCTGGGAGGTACAGTGTGGCAGCAGTGGTGGTGGGAGGTGGGGATGAGTAAAGGGGAGCTGATGTCAAGGAGTTCAAGAAGGAAGAAAAGGTTTTGAGACTGACTGTGGTAGCAGTCGTACAATACTGCTTGATGTGATTGAACTACGGGACGAGATAATATCTGTATCAGCTCCCAATAAAATGGGTTTGGAAAAAAAATAAGTGAGTGAATTGCATTGCATATGAATTATATCTTAATAAAATTGACTAAACAAACTACTAAAATAGTACGGAAACTTGCCAGCGGAGATCCTAATTAATACTTCAGGCTATGTTGCCAGAGGAAATGGACATATGTAAATAGAGGTTATGCGATCTGCTTTTACCCTCAAGAAATCTCGAGTGGAAGCCCATACCAAATGTTTTCCTAAAACCAAACCTTTATGGGAGAGAGCAAAGAAAAGACTAGTTCATTGTAAATAAGACATGGTTTTGGTACACAAAACAAAGTACAATGTTAAAAGTATACAAAAAAGCAAGGGTCTTCAGGGATTGGTGCTAAAATTTCCCTTATTTGTTATCCTGTTCAGTGAAAATATGTGATATGGCCTCCTCATTTTTATGTGCTTCAATATTACAAGTAAAGAAAGGACAAACCAATGTATATTTAAAACAGAAATATAGTTCAAGTCAATTTAAGTGAGCAAAATCAGTCGTAGTTGAAGTTTAGCACTAGGCAGTGGCAAGTAATTCATGAATGGATTATTTAAAATAATATGTGCTATATAAAAAGTACTTTGAGTTATTTGTCAAAAAAAAAGATAATTCAGAGCTATTAAAAAATTCTTTTTATCGTGCTGATTTGGATTGATCTAATGAATAGGTCTCCAAACTTTTTTTTAACCTATTGTTCCCTTTTCAGAAAATAAAACAAAAACTTGGCATAGCCCTGGGCAATTAAAAATATTTGTACTAAAAACAAATTTTTTTTTGTACTATAGCAAATAATCTGGAATAAAGTATAGGTATCTGATTCTGAGGTCCCTGGATCATTTTAGTGCTCCCAGGAGTAATATTACATACTTTGGGAAACACCAATCGAATTTAATTTCCATATTTAAAAAGCCAATTCAATGGTTTACTCATATAAAGCAAAAAGAAAAGAAAAGAAACGAAGGAAAGGTAGGAGGGAGAGAGATGAAATAAAGAAAGAGAGGAAGAAAGAAAGAGAATAAAGGAAGGGAGGAAAGACAGGAAGGTGGTAAGGAGGGGAGAAGGGAGGGAGGAAGAGGGGAAGTAAAATGTGTACATACTTCTTGTAATGGTTGAATGTGTGCTTTTTTCCTTTGGGATGTACAGTAGTACTTATTAACAGATAAACCATTATAGAGAAATATCTCAAGGCAGAAAAGGTACTTAGTATTGTAGATGATTTTGGAATCGTAAGTAAATTATGAGACCCATTTTAGCTAAAATGCACAAAATAAGTTCCAGGTTAATTTTGATTCTTTGTATATAAATTTTTTTTCATAATAACTCATTAATTCCAAGAATAAATAAATGAACTGGTAATATTTACCTTCTTTTTCACTCCTATTGTACAACGTCACATTTGAAAGTTGATCTTCCGTCCATCTAATTGGAATATTCCATGTGTAACTAAAATGTTTAAGAAAGCAAAATTATTTTTGTTCTGAAAATTTAAAAACAAGTAGAAAAAAAGTCATAGATATACATAAGTTCCTCGTAGGTGCTTATTCAGTGTATAAACTCATAGTGACTCTATAGGACAGATTAGAATTACCCCTGTGGGTTTCTGAAACTCTAAATATTTATGAGAGTAGAAAGCCTCATCTTTCTCCCGAGAAGTGGCTAGTGGATCCTAACTGCTAACCTTGCAGTTAGTAGCCCAACTCATAATCCACTATGCCACCCGGGCTCCTATTCAATAGAGTGTATACAATCAATACATTTATGACAATTTTACTTAGTGATGAAGATAAGCCATGTAACTGTTCTCAACTTCTTAAAATCTATAGACGGTGAAGCTTTGCACCAAAATTATTATCTAAGCATGAAGATTATTTCAAATAAATGCTTTTAGATTTTTGGAATGAAGATATTGCTTAAATATAGAAAAGTATGTTGAAATGATGGATGGATGCAGCATCAGGATTGGAGGGAGGCCAATAAGCCTTCAATATATAGATGATACAATCTTGCTTGCTGTAAGTGAGGAGGACTTGAAGCACTTGCTGAGGAAGATCAAGGATTGTAGCCTTCGGTGTGGATTACAACTCAATGTAAAGAAGAGCCAACGCCTCACTATGGACCAATAGATGACATCATGATGAATGGAGAAAAGATTGAAATTGTCAAGATTTTGTCTTGCTCAGAACCACAATTTATGTTCATGGAAGCAGCCCTCAAAAGATCAAGACTTACTGGGTAAATCTGCAGCATGAGACCTCTTTAAAGTGTGAAGTGTTGACAAGGCAAGAATGTTACTCTACCTGACCCTATCCATGGTATTGTCAATCACCTCTTATGCAAGTGAAAGGTAGGCATTGAATAAGGAAGACCAGAGAAGAATCAATGTATTTCAACTATGGTGCTGATGAAGAATACTGAAAATACCATGAACTGCCAAATGAAAACACAGATCTGTCTTGGAAGAAGAACTCAGAATGTTCCTTAGAGGTTGTGGGGGGAAGTCAGATGCGCAGGCATTCCCTCCCCTGAAGGCAATCAGTTGCCAGACTGCTGTCTCATCCCACAGCAGGGGTGGGCCTGCTCCCTGCCTCTGGGGACAATGGATAGGGGTTTGCACCCTACTGATAATGGTTCCTATGGAGACCCAGAGCCCACCCCCTAGACCACCCTATCATTGCTATGTAACCTATAGTGCAGCTCCTCCCTGTGACATATGTCTCTACCTGTAATTAGTGGGCTGGCATGCCCCCAAAAGGTATATAGGTGTGAGTCAGCAATATCTCTCTCTCTCTGACTCTGAGCTCCTTGCTGCTCACTCCCTGGTCACTCCCCTCTCCCTTGTTCCCTTCCCCTCCTTCCCTTCCCCCTCTCTCCAGGTAGACCACCAAGCTGGGCTGAGGTGAGCAATGCTGCCATGTAACGTGTCTGACTGTATTATTGTAATATCTCTCATGCTCTCGATGACTTTAATATAATGCTTATATATCTCAACCATACAATTGTACTTACTGAACCCAGAAGTAGTATTACTGAACTCATAGAGAGTATCAACGGGTGGGGGCTGGCACCCCACCCCCCCTAGCGCCACTCAATTTTTAATTTAATACTACAAGAGGTAAGGATAGAGAGACTTCAGCTTATGTATTTTGGATAAGGCAGGAGGGACCCATGCCCAGAGGAGGACATCATGCTTGGTAAAGGAAAGGGGCAGTGAAAGCGAGGAAGGCCTCTGAGGAGATGCATCGACACAGTGGCTGCGACCTTAAGCTCACTCCCAAGAACCCTGGTGAGCAGGGTGCAGGACCAGACGGTGCTTCGGTCTGGTCTGCATAACTCAGAATGGACTCCGTGGTACATAACCACATGCTGTCACATTGAGCGTTCGCAAGCTAAGGACCTGCACAGATTCTGAGATGCTATTTTCTCTTTACAGGACCACAAAAGATTTTAAAATTCAGAAATACTCTGAAAGAAAGAAAACATTTTAGATATTAGGTTAAAATCATACTACTGTAAGTATGGTCTTCTCTAAATTACTCTCTATTTAGAACCACGAGATCCTGGGTGATGTGAAGGTAAACATTTGAAGTCAGTGTGTTTCGTGGGTTTTACAACTTTGTGTTCTTTAGCTGCTTAGTATTTCCTTCTGGGGCAGGTGGTAGGTGGGGGAGTAATAACCACAGTGTTTGCTATTGTTACTTATTATTCGTTTTATATTTCACATACTGTATACTTAATAGTTTAGCCTAGAATGCTTCTAAAAGAGATCTTAGATGTCTCTTTGATCTTTTGTTCTCATACCCTAGGCAATTGGTCAGCTAACAGGAGATCTAGAGAGAAAAGGAATCTATTGGCTAATTCAAGTTTCAGCTCAAAGCTAGTCTTGTTTTTCTTTCTCTGCGATCATTAAAAGTCCTTAACCAAGAAGAATGGTTGGCATCTCTACTTTTCAAAATATAATAAAAGGTAGGTCAGTGGGAAGAATACGTTTGGATATCTTATGAGGAAGGTCCAGTCCTTGGAGAAGTACATCCTGCTTGGTGGAGTGTCAGGAAAAGGAGGAAGACCCTTAGCAAGATGGGTCAGCACAGGGAGCCTATCAACGGGCTCCAACAGAACAACAATTGTGAGGAAGGCATGGGGCTGGGCCGGGCTTTGTTCAGTTGTGCCCAGAGTCATCCATCGGAGAAGGCACCTCATAACACTAACTACATAGCAAAGTATTAACTGTGGGATCTTGGGGAAGGGTTGGAGGGAAAAAGGAGGAGCTGATACCAAGGGTTCAAGTAGAAAGAAATCGTTTTGGAAATGATGATGGCAACATATGTACAAATGTGTTCGATACAGTGGATGTATGGATTGTTATATGAGCTGTAAGAGCCCCCAATAAAATTTTTGTTTTTTAATAAAAGTACAGATTAGGAGACAGGCTGCTTAGCCACTTACTAGCTGAGTGACTCTGAACAAGTTATTTAACCTTTCTAGTTACTTAACCTAGCACTATATACTAAGTATCTGTAAAACAAACCAAAGTTAAATTTAATAAACAAAAGTATTTAAAATGTTAAAAAAAAAGTATTAACGTTTGTGTTGTAATTATAGAAGTGCTTACTCGGTTTGGGCACTTAGTAGTTCCATGGGAGATCTGACTGGGAATGTTCTTGACTGTTGAGTTTCATAAAGGCACCACAAATCGATTCTTGGGTCTCATTGCAGACGCTCTCAGGGCTTCCTCCTTATCACCTGGGTCCCTTTTGTCAAATTCATGCTTCAGGATGCTAGTCAGAGGTCTGTCCTCACCCCTGAAGAGCCCGGTAATGTATATTCTTTGGATGCAGCCCTTAGCCAGTGACAATGACATGGGAGCCTCCTCTGGCTTCCGTGACCTCTCAGTGGGCCCACTCTGAAGTGCCGCTGCACCGTCTGGCACTGAATCCAAGTGCTCTGTGGTCCGTGCCACATAGAGCACCACGACAGGACGTTCTTCCTTCCCATGCTTCGCCACACCCACCCCCTCTCTCCTAGAAATACCATCACGTTCACTGGGGTCATAATATCAAGGTCCACTTTTAGGGAAGCCAATGAGTGGACAAAAAAGTGGACAAAGATGTAGCTTTCAAAAATCGCATCCCATTTACTTACAGCTCTCATGCTTTGTCTGCTCTGCTGATTCAGTGCTGCTCAGTAAATGGCATTACCTTCCTCCCCATCTTGCCGCAATCACAGAACTGGTAGTGAATGCCTATCTCCTGGGCATGCGCAGTCAGGATTGCACATCTGGGCTATCTATTCTACAAACGGGTGTCTAGGACTACGCTGTGCCGAAATGGGAGGGTAAGATGCACTGCTATGATTGTGTATAAAAATACTTCCAGGGGGGCGGTTTCAAGAATATCACAAAGCTACATTGATAGAAGGTGAAAGACATGTGGCTTTATAGTTTTAAGATCACTTAATCAAAACTGATCTCCTTTGAATAAAATAACAAATACGAGAATAGAAAACGTCAAGAAGTTAAAATTACATCAATGGTCGTCTTCTTTATGTGAGATACAGAGGTATCAGATCTCATTTTCAAAAATGCAATGGACTACTTAACAACTCTGAGGAAAGTGGCCCAAGGTAGCACACCCACGTCCACTGCTTCTGTGTGTTCATGCTAAGGGAACCAGAAAGGCACGTAAACTTACTCTCTACAGAAAACCCCCAGGGGAGATGAAATAGACCCTTTTCTGAGAGATGCTCAAAAGCGTCAGCTCTTCAAACAATAACATTTATGTGTGGCTCATTTAGGTTACAAGTAGGTGGCGTGGGGTTACTTGTTAGGATGCCGAACTACACAGTCAGCCGTTTGAGCCCAGCAGCCATTCTGCAGCAGAAAGAGGAAGCTTTCTGCTCTTGTCAAGATTGAGAACCTCGGAACCCCCAGGAGCAGTCCTACCCTGACCTGGAGGCTCGCCATGAGTCAAAATTGACTTGATGGCAGTGAGTTTGGTTTTTTGTCCTTGTCTTAAGAACACGTGAAGAGGAGGCTATTTAATAAGACCGAGGACAGTGCCCAAGACCACACACCTAATGCCTAGCCTGCCTTGTGTTCACTGCCGTGGTCGGTGCACGCGCACCAAGACCCTAAAGGACAGGCTGGAACGACCCTGGCGGGTTTGTAGACTGCAACTCTTTCAGGGAGTAGAAAGCGGTCTTTCTCCTGAAGTGGTTTCCAGCTGCTGGCCTTTCAGATCACAGCTCAACCTGTAACCACTACTCCACCAAAGCGCTCTCTCTCTCTCTCTCTCTCTCTCTCTCTCTCTCTCTCT